AAGAAGAAGAAGAAGAAGAAGAAGAAGAAGAAGAAGAAGAAGAAGAAGAAGAAGAAGAAGAAGAAGAAGAAGAAGAAGAAGAAGAAGAAGAAGAAAGAAAGAAGAAGAAGAAGAAAGAAAGAAGAAGAAGATGATGTACACCAACATAGACCAATGATAATGCTCTTCTTCTTCGCCAACCACTCTCCTCCTCCTTATCTCCTCCCCTCTTATTCAAACAAGAAAAAATAATAATAACGTTGAATGGCTGAACCAGAATCAATGTCCGAATCCCTCTTCTACTGCAGGTATCACATGAGGTCCACCAAAGTCATGGCACCCTTCTCCTTCCTCTTCTCGAAGGCCTAGGCTATGGCGGACTGCTAGGGCCTTGCTGTGATGTGCAGAAGACAACTCAAGCAGCTATGGCTGCTCTAGCTCAGGCCGCCATGCCTGACTCGGCCACCAAGGTGATGAAGATGGCAACCACCATAGCCAGGTAAGTACCTCTGGCCCTCCCTCTTCCTAGTCCTGGTCTTCTTGCTCCTGCTGTCCTTGCTCCTTCCCCAGCAGCGCTGCTCCAAGCTAGCGCTGCTCCAGCCAGTGCTCCAACCAGTGTGTCACCAAAGTTGCACACCGACAATGAGGAGGAGCACCTTGCTCCTCCTGGAGATATAGCGGCCTTGCCTCTTTGCGAGTGACTTCCTAGGCCGTGCGGCCTCCAAGCAACCGGTAGCTCCTCCCTTTTGGAGGGAAACATCATTGCAGACTCTGGTATTGCCTGTACAGGCCCTAGACTCAGACTGGTTGGACTGGTACCCGCCTAGACCTAGCCTACAACTACCGGGCCTCTAAAAATGCCAACTTTTGTCTTCTTCTGCTCGGCCTCGAGTACCTGGCGCATCTACCTCTACTTGGTGTGGTACCGGCCTACCTGTTACTTGAGTGTTTTCCGCTTCTCTAAGTGTCACGGGCCTCTTTCCCAGCCACTTGAGTGTTTTTCCTGCTGCAACCCTCAATGTCACTGCCACAGGTAAGTACCGGCCCTTCGGGCCTTCCGAACGAACAAGTGCCCCTTGTGGGTCAGACACACACTCAAGCCGACAAGCAATCAGACAGGCATGCAGACCAGCAAGCATGCACCCACACAGACTTAGAAAACTCAGCAACAAGCGGGAAACTCAGTAAGGCATACATTCCATGAGCAAAACCCAGAAATCAGCTGTGCGTCTCAGTCCGTGTTTGGCAGGTCATTACATAGTAGTAGTTTGATCGTGCCAGTAAGTATTGCATACAAAGGTGTTGACAACTGAGGCCCTCGCTCCAGTGCAGAACATTCTAAATGCATCTGGAGGTGGTGATGATCCAGATGCTTTCAAAATGTTGGATTGGGCCGAATGTATAAAGAGTGAGAGCACTGAGAGGCAGTATAGATGCATGTATAATGTTGTGTAGCGGAGTGAGACCCTAAGGCTATGGGTTGGCCCACCTGCCATGGCCATGCCAGACTGCCCCACAGGTCAGGAGTGTCTCTTGGTTGCTGTGTTGGGCCATGAATGGCAGAAAAAAACAAAACCCAGCGTTAATCACGTGTCAAAATTATTGTCAGGTAAAAGAAAAACTAGAGAAATTGTCAGGTAAGGGCGGTTCCACTGAGTGAGGGCAAACTCACACTTCGACTTTCTTGACTGAATCTGGCTGAGTTTGCAGGCAGATAACTCCGGAAGTCCTCGTGTGATCAGGCCTTTGAACTGCATTTGCTGCCACACTGGTTAACGACATTGAGGCCAGTGTCACATGAGGCGTTTCCCCCTGGATGTATCTGACCGCTTTTATGGCCAGGCCTGGATGCACCTGACTGCAATTACATCCACAGATACGTTGAAAAATTCCTGGTCCGAGTATGCCCTGAGTTGCCTTTTCTGTCTTTCTTCAAGTTTTTGTGGTTTTGTTTTTTTTGCTGTTGAAGGGGGGGAGGAGGGGGAAGGGGAGGGGGAGGGGGAGGGGAAGGTGGTTAATGATTGACTGGCCTGCAGAAGTTTTGGTGGGTGTCTGGGTTCATCCTAAGAGCATACTCACACTAGGCCCTCGAAATGGCAGAACCGTAAAATGACCGCCCAGATCTAGTCCTCCTTTTAGAAAGAGTCAATCTGGCCACTGATTTTGCAATTTTGTGCTTTTCAGGGACTAGCGTGAGTATGCCCTGCTGCTTCATTTCTTTTCTTTGTTTTGTTTTTTGTTCCCCCC